TTTGGTTGAGTTAAATCAAGACAGCTCAACCCACTCTTTTCTTCAAGTTGTTACCGTAGTATTTGCATAGTGTAATGAACTGGGCGGGCCTATAACCATTCCTCCCATCTCCAGTGGTTTTTCCTTCTCTCCTGTGCATTATGTTTAATATGTGTCACATGCCACCTAACATATCTATTCAGTCTCCTATCCAAGCCTATATATTACATCTTCCCTAGCAGAGTAATTTCAAATGGCTGCTCACATTGGCTGTACAGGCCATGGGATACAGTGAAATTCTGTTTAGTCTTCTCTCTGCCCCACCCCTACATATTGCTCATTACACACACACACACACACACACACACACACATTGCAGCACCAGTTGTTGGATATCTGTACAAAGGACAAGCAAAAGAATGCAATGACAGTTCTTTTAAGGAATGAATCAAAGTGCAAATTAGCAAACACCAAATTTGTTGTAAACATTAAATACATCAGACACAAAACCTTCTGCTCTATACAAGAGTGCTTTCAGAATTGTCTATTCACAGCAGCTCCTCTTCTCCTGAGGGTCATAAACACAGAGAGAAAAAGCCAGAGCGAGGGGGGTGGGATGAGGGGAAAATGCTGTCATTGAAATTCAGCTCACAGCAAAAGCAATTTCCGAGTGTGCAAAGTGCTGTCAGCAGGCCTGATGTTTGTGTATGAAATATAGACAATATGACTGGCCCATCGGCAGCCACTGTCAGCCTGATGGATGGTGCCTGAAAAGAAGTAAAGCGGCTGCCGTTAGGGCCCAGTCTATCAGCCTCTTGAAGGAGATTCAGAGGTTTAATAGTGGGAAAACTTTCTACTAATCTGACAAAATTTCCACCTACGATAGGCAAGAAAATAAAAGGGTTAGTGATGAAAGATCTTAGCCAGAAACATAAGGCTAGGAGGAGGAAAGACTAGTTCTCTTGCTCTCTCTCCCTCTCAAAGTCTTTCCTGGTTCCTTGAAAAAACTTTTTAATTCTGAGGGCACGTTTGAATGCTATGTTTGTGCCCTATGGCAGAAAGCCCATATGGCCTTTCTCTCTCCCCCTGCCCCTGTTTTCTTTCTTACCCCATTTCTTGGGGAAAACTCAGATGTGTTCCCCCCTCCCATAGGCTAGGAAAAGTAGAGTCCCTAATCACCAGTACTGTTCACTGTGGGGGGCCAGACAGAACTACACTATTGCCATTAGTATTGTTGTTACTGTTGCTAATTGTCACTGTCAGATATTTGACTGGTAGATGATGTTCTGCAATTTGAGATCTAGCCAAGTTCTTGAGAATTACAGATGTATTTTCACAGGATTCTTGCTGTTCCAACCAACACAGTCTTCTGGAGCTGAGCTGGTATTATTTGTTCAATGCCCAGAATGTCCAGATGTTTTTTGAGACTTCTAGGCATATGCTCCAATGACAACTGGCATGATAGTAATCTTCTTCTCTCAGAGGCGCTCTAACTCAATTCGTAGGTCTTGCTGTTAGTGGTCTTCTCCAGTGCTTTCTTTTCTATCTTTTCTATTCTGCTGTCTCCTGGGATTGCAACGTGAATTATCCAAACCCTGTTTCTCATTTTTTTCTACAATTGTAATATCGAGTGTTAAGCTTCAGTGTTTATCTGTTTGCAATCAGAAGTCCAAAGAATCTTTGTTTTATCATTCTCCACATCTAGCCTAGTTTGTCCTCCCATGAATTCTGACTGATGGTAAGGTATACTTCTTGCAAAGATTCCAGTGCAACATGGCTGCAACTCTATTGTGATGTTCTTTAAAGTCAATCTAAAACCAAGAGCTGTATTAAATACTGGACTTGAAGCAGCTCTTATCAAACTGTAATTTCTTTTATTCAGCTCAGAACACAGCACACAAAACAACCCAGGAACAATCCCCACTTATATGCAGTCAAGAGCAGTCAAAACCACACCTCCTAACATAGTAATAACCAATCATAGCAAACACTATAGCATACCTTATTTGCATTTCCTGTTTCATTCTAGTCTTCCCTGATTGGTCTGTTACCTGGGCAGCCAATCAGAGCAAGTGCTGTATGGGTGCAGTCACACACACTAAATAATCCACTTTCAATGCACTTTCCAACTGGATTTTTACTGTGTGAACTGACAAAATCCAGTCGGAAAGTGCATTGAAAGTGGATTATTTAGTGTGTGTGTCTGCAGCCTATCATTCTAGCAAGCAATGGTATCTAACACAAGACTCAGGCATTAGTTGCTTCAGTACAACTACCTCTACATGGTAGGAGCCAATAACAATAATTCCCTACAAAATATGCCCTGATTGGTTCACATAGAGAATCTCAGGATCCTTGCAGACTATGAAGCTTGGCCTGAAGCTCAGCCACAGTATTAATACATAACAAGCTGCATATTAAAATTCAGGAAACACTGATCAGGAAGCCCAGACACTATCTAAAAGTAAGGTTGCCAACAAGCCTGGGGGGTGGGGGTAAATGTCCTGTCCATCAATGTGTGGAAATGGGCAGCTGAATCTTCAAATGGCATGTAGGTAAAAGGCATGTAGGATGGCCCAGGCTAGCCCAGTCTCAGCAGATCTTCGCTGAGAAACAGGGTCAACCCTGATTAGTACTTGGATGGGAGACCTCCCAGGAGGTACAGGGTTGCTACACAGAGGCAGGCAATGGCAACCTACCTCTGTTTGCCTCTTGCCTTGAAAATCCTATAGGGTCACCACAAGTAGGCTGCAACTGGACAGCGATTTCCACCACTAAGTAAGCTACATCACCTGGTAAGTAACATCTCATCAAGTCTCTATTAAAGGAACAGAACCTTTTTCCCAAGGCAGGTGGCAACCCTATCCGAAAGCCTCTTTAAAACACTTCAGTCTAAAGGAGAGGAGCAAAACCAAGCCATGAACGTGGGGATTAGGGGACTCACCTTGCAATGGCTTGCTTCCTTTCTCCAGGGTTGGGTACAAAGGGTGGCGCTAGGGAAACAGCAGTCCAGGAGGCACCCACTTGAATGTGGTGTGCCTCAGGGGGCTGTGCTGTCCCTACTGTTATTTAACATCTATATGCACCCCCTTGCCCACATCGCCCGGAGGTATGGGCTGGGATGTCACCAGTATGCTGATGACACACAGCTCTATCTGATTTTAGGCGGCCAGTTGGATTCCAGACCGGAAGACCTGGATTGAGCTCTGCAGGCCGTGGCTGGGTGGCTCAGACTGAGTTGGCTGAAGCTGAATCCAGCGAAGACGGAGGTCCTGTGCCTGAGTCAGGGTAGTTCAGGAGCAGGAATCCCACTCCCGACCTTTGGGGGGGTTTCACTGGTCCCAGCGCTGGAGGTTCGGATGCGGGGAGGGCGGGGTATAAATTTGACCATAAAAATAAATAAATAAATTTGGGAATCCTCAACAGCTAACAACACTATGGTAGTAAAAGTCCTGCTCTTAGTAGATGTTATTCTCATGCAGCAAAGCTCCTAATAGGCATGTCAAATTTTAAAATGAGTTCCTGATAACAGGGCAGAAGGCTCGCTTGTTTGAACTGGCCATTACAACTGAGGACTAAGTTGGGACAGCATCAGGAAATTTCAAGCAACTTTTCTATGTGGATGTTTTTAGCAGTACTGAAGAAATCACAATTGATGTTTTCTGAATGTGCACAATGCTTTTGGCGATTTGTGTATGTGTGCCTTTGATAAAAGGTGTGAACTCGCAAAAAGCTGAGTATTGGAGGGAAGAGGCAGCTCTGCCTGTTGGCAGCACTCCCTTGCTTCAATGCAACAGTGCTCAAATTGACTTCTTGGGATAGAATGAGAACATGCATTCTGATTAGGGCTGTTGACTCTGGGTTGGGAAATACCTGCACATTTTGGGGCAGGAGAGGGCAGGGTTTGGTGAGGGTAGGAACCTCAGCAGGGTATAAGGCTATAGAGTCTGCCTTCCAAAGCAGGCCTTTTCTCCAGGGGAACTGATCTCTATTGCCTGGAGATCAGCTGTAATTCCAGGAGATCTCCACCCACCACCTGGAGGCTGGCAACCCTAGCTCTGATATACATCTGAGTGCATTTTTTCCTGCTGAAAGAAATGCAACACAGATGGATGTCATTCACATCCAGACTTCAACCAAATATGGATTTGCAGTGCACAAATTCAGATGGGAGGTATATTCAATTATATGTCCACATGCGCATCCACACACTGGGAGTATTAGCCCATTGCCTGGGCCACAGCAATACATTCCGTCTTTCATTTCACTTTGGCAGTGGGTGATTTTGTTTGCTTCCAAAGTTATTACATACACAAATCTGACTGGTTATGTGGTGCTATGATGTCATCATGTTTACTACTTGATCAACTGGGATCTCACAGTGAAGAAACCTTTTCAAGTACATAAGCATGTTATCTATCACCAACAGATTAGTGAAGGAAGGCAGTAAATGCATGCAGAAAAAGTGGAGCTCCCTGAACTCTCCCAAAGTAATTTCTACATGCAAAATTGAATTTCATGAAAATTTGGTGCAACAGTAGTTTTTTTTTAAGAGGGGCAGTTTTTAATCTGTCCAAAGCCTTTGTGGTAGACTATGAATCTACTTATATAAATCAGTCTCACCTGTCACTACAGGTGAACCTTGAAGGTTGAATTAAATTCATCTACTTTAAAAAATTTTTTTATTATTTTCTGACTACAAACACTACAAAACACTACAACACTAACACTAACCTAAAATAAGCTATACAAGGATCATATATCATGATTAAATGCATATTTAGCTAAAGTTCTCTCTGTAAAAAACATAATTTTGTAATATATCCAATTTCTACTGCTTCAATTACAGACTGGTAAATATAAAAATAAATCAGGTAAATACAAACAATAAGGCTTCTACTAATTCTTCTAAATCTGTTTCTTCCCTTTATTTGTTGTCTTTTCATATTTCCATTTGACTTTCAGGACTTTTGGGGCTGCCGCCCCTAATTCTGATTCAGAATATTCTTCTGGATTGCTACTCGCTGTTGCTTCCAAGTCTCCCGACCCATGTGTGCTGCTTTTTTCTTCAATATCTTGTTCCTCTGCTGTGTTGTTTACTGGTTTTTGTTGTGTTTCCAAGAACATCTTCACTTTTAAAGCAGAGTCTATCTTTTCTTTTTTATCTTTGTAGTTGAAGACCAATCCTTCGGGTATTATCCATCTGTAGGGGATGGAGTTTTTTTTGCAAAAAACGGGTTACATTTTTAAATTCATCTACTTTTATCCACTTTATTTCTTCTGCAAGTCAGACAGCAAGCAATTAAAATGCACATGCTTGTCTTGGGTTAAGTCTGTCCTCACATAAACACTAGGATAGCCAGCCCCCGGGTCCAGATGGGGGATCCCCTGATTTCAGGGGCTTCTCCCCACCACAGACCAGCTTGCCAGCAGGAGAAAACCGGCCCCTAAACATGGACGTCACCATGCAATGTCCATGATGCAATGTCACCTGGAAGTGACATCATTATGTCGGGGATGTTGTGCAGGGACACTCTGGGAAAAAAATGTAGTTTCACCCAAATACCAGAGCATCCCCCGCACGACATCCCCAACATGATGACATCTCTTTTGAATGATGCTATCACATAAGGGATTTTATGTTCTGAGTTATTTCTAAGCTGTTTAGTTATGATTTGTGCTAAGGTATCCTAGTTTCCTCTGTTGTGATTGGCTGCATAATAAAGACGTTCTAGTGGTCCTAAAGCCATACAGTGTATCCTATCAGAAAGCTTCACTTAGGTCCAATCAGACCTCATGAAAGTAGTTACATTGTATATAGTTCAGTTTGGAACAGTATAAATTTGCATGCCGTTTTTCGCAGAGTCAGATTAGAGCTGAGTAATGTTTTGAATAAAAGCCTTGTATTAATAATCGTCTCCCCCCTTTCAGTACTTAAAACTGGCGATGAGGATGGGATGCCAGGCCTAACCAAATGAGGAAAGCACTCTTGCCCGACCAAGCTGAAATCACTGAGGGTGCCTAGAGCTAAATCACTATGGGCATGGCATCCAAGGGCCATATCGAACTGTTCACCTCCAAGGTTGGAAACTGGGAATCCTACCTCAACCATTTTGAATGCTTCCTTATAGCAAACAGTATTGAAGGAGACGATGTCTGCCACGCCACATTTCTTGAGTACCTGCAGCCAGGCTGTATTCGACATTGCTCAGGACTTAGTAGCTCCATCCAAATTACTGGAGATACCTCTCAGCATCATCAAGGCATGACTCAACAAATATTTTATGTCTAAGACGTCTGCTGCCATACAGTGATGTGCTTTCTACCAACAAAGCCAGAAAGAGAGCGAGTCTGTCACTGAATACATTGCCGCGCTGCAAAGGGCTGCTCGTGACTGCCAGTTCCCAAATGTAGATTCAGTCCTGATGGATCATTTGCTCTGCGGCCTTAGAGATGACAGCATCAGGTGAGTGCTTCTGTTAAAAAAAGAACTCACAAATCGTCACTCAAAGAAGCACTGAGAGTGGAGGCCACCAACATTTCTCTTTGCGAACTGCGATCGGGTGCTCAGAGTCACATGTCATGCCGCACCGACGCTGTTCACCACGGCATTACCACAGACTCATCTGTTTCCAGAGACGACCAATCGGAATTGTCTGGTGATGGAGTCCACAGAATGGGAGCCCATCAGAAGCCGTGCCATTCTCAGAAAAGCCCACAAAGAGGAGCATGTGTCAGTTGCGGTGGTGTGCACGCTCATAGAGACTGTCAGATCCGCAATGCTAGTTGTCGTTCTTGTGGAAAGACGGGCCGCATCGCTAAAGTCTGTCACTCATCACACGGTCATCCTGCACCTGAAGTCTTCCATCGTCCGGAAAGATCTTCAAGTTACTCTCACCACTCATCTCGTTTTTTATCCTCTCATTCATTCAGTCGACGGCTGAAATAAAGTAATGAAGCAAGAGTGTCAGAGGATTACACCAATCATCTATACATCCACCAAGGTCTTCACACATGTCCCAAGGTCAAGGTTACTGTCTTCCTTGAAGGTCGCACTTGTCAGATGGAGGTCGATTCAGGTTACATGCTGTCAATTGTCTCATGGAACACATTTCAACAAGTCTGTCCCAGGTTCTCTGCATGCTGTCACCAGAAGTGCAGTCTGTAACTTTTTGATTGCCAAAGGAACCGAGTTCCTGTTGTCAGTATCGCCTCTGTCCAAGTCAAGTACAAGAAATTCAACCGTCATCTTAATTTACTGGTCATTGAAGGTCGTTGTACAAGTCTTATTGGTCTGGACTGGTTCGCCGCCCTCGGTATTGAAATTATCTGCATCAACAACATCAGTCAGTAGAAGAATTCCCTAATGTCTTCAGTTCAGAACTCGGCTGTTTCTTTTGATTTGAATCCTGCAATTCAGCTACCTTCCAAAGCAGCCATTTTCTCCAGGGGAACTGATCTCTGTCATCTGAAGATCAATTGTAACAGCGGGAGATCTCTAGGTCCCACCTGGAGATTGGCAACCCTAGGGGAAAGTCAGCCGCACAGCAGGAAGTTGAAGAGAACAGTTTGATAGCCTCTGGACCACCTCAGTAGCCAGCCAGCCACAGGGAAACCAAACAGGAGAAGCATCTTTGTCAGGAGAGATCCGTTTTGTCAGTTTATTCTCACAGAGGGAAGAGTGGTCAAACTGGCAGTGGGCAGGGGAGATGACCCAGCCCCCAGTCAATGGCATATGAGTCCTCTTGAGTCGTGGTTGATGGATCAGTGGCTGATGGAGCGCACAGTGCAACCAATAGGAGAGCTGGAAAGTGCAAATATATAGGTTATATATGATTCTAACATCCCCAAATTCATTTGGAAAGACCACTTTCAACCCAGTGTGAAGAACAGTTTTTCCTTCTGCATTGCTGAAATCAGGTTTCATAGAATTCTGATGAGGATGAGAATATATTATAAGTAAGTGATACTGGATCACTGTCAAAAACAAATGAATACCAAGTGTATTGGGCCCAAATTACACATAATTTATTCAAAGGGTTTTAACAAATCTTCTGTGTTTCATACCATAATCCTCCATATTTTCTACATGGGAAATCAAATAAACAAATAAGCATTACTAACACACACACAAGGGACAAAATTCAACTACAAACAACCCATTTATTTTAAGACTTCAGTGCGACAGAAATTCCCAATCAGAGATAGAAAGGATGATTTTTAAGGGTGGTAAGGGAGATATTTTGGAGAAGCAAGGGTAATTTAAAGCAGAATATGCTTTTTTGATGAGGCTGCCAAAATGAAAATGTCCTGGGAAAATTTTTTAATTTACATACAGACGAAGCTGTCAGCTGAGTTGCTGGCAGAAAGAATGATAACAATTCATTTGATAACAACTCTCTTGTTAAGAAAATAGCAGCATCCAGGGGCTTTATGTGCCCACCACAAAGAAAGTTTCCCTGAGCAGATTTTTTTTTTACAGAAAAGCAGATCTTTTCTATGAGACTTGTTTGTTTTTGCAACATTCAGTAATTGTTATGACCCATTGCTTTCAAATAAAAATGCTCTAGGCCTTTGCAAACAGCTATGAGGATGTGCAAAGATGGGAAGAAGATTCATGCCCATTTCCTCCACACTCAGTTCCCGTGAGCTTCTTGGGTCTTTTAAAGAGAACTGGTAGGCTATGTGCAGAAAAGATTATCACCATAATGAGGTTGGAAAGGTTACGTCCAACCTCCAGGTGGACCATGGAGTACTGCTGAAATTAGAACTGATCTCTAGACTACAGATACCAGTTGCCCCAGGGGAAATGGCAGCTTTGAAGGGTAGATTCTATGGCATCCCACCCAACCTGAGCTCCCTCCCCTCTTTAACTCTATCCTCCCCAGGCTCTGCCCCCAAATCTCCAGGAACTTCCCAACCCAGAGTTGTGAATCCTACTTTTTCACCACATTTAGTAGTTTGCACAAGGTTTGAATTACTCTATAAAATAACTACTATGGCAATAAGAGAGTGTTCCCATAAGAAGATAAAAGAAAGGGAAATACTCTCAACTGCTAGCTCAAAATATGTATTATTCTCCTCCCAAAAAACATGGAAAATGAACAGTATTCCCCTTAGCACCAATGATGAACATGGTTTTCCTTAAACAGGAGAAGGTATAGGGTGCCAACCTCCAGGTAGGACCTGGGGAACCCCTGGAATTACACTTCATCTCGAGACTAAAGAGATCAGTTTCCCTGGAGAAAATGGAAGTTCTGGAGGGTAGACTCTATGGTATTATACCCCAATGAGGTCCCTGTCTCCCCTGCCCCCAGGCTCCATCCCCATATCTCCAAGAGTTTCCCAGCTTATAGCGACCCTTCCCCCATCCCCTACCGGTGACCAGGGGGGACCTGACATCCCTAAAATATCAACAATCTAGCTTAGCTCATGCACCTCTGCCCCACCATGCCAATTTCTTCTTTCCATTTTCAGTTTTGCTCTAACCAAACTTTTCTCCAAGTGAAAATTAGGTGGAAAATTGATGCATTTAGATCTGGTCACCTCAAAAGTGAATGTTTGAATCAAGCTTTAGGTACTTGAAACTGCTGAAAAATCTGAGGAGCCATATTCTTTTTTTTTCTTCACCAAAACATTTTATTTATTTTCCATATAACATACATATATAATTAACAATTCAACTATGGTAATTCTTATTGTGTAAAAAATAATACGTAACTTTTACAAACCAACTAAACATTCACATATATAGAGTTTCCTTAATCAATGCTTATGGTAACAACATCAATCTGTAACAACTATGTTTTTCAAAAGATTTACTAATGGGATTATTATCTATTTTTTCCAGTTCTGCGTTCCACTTACTAAGAAATGACTTTTAAGCTGAATAGGAGTTCTGAACATTCAAACCTGTTGAGATCTTATCCATTATGAAATGGTCCCAGACTTGGTATACCATTGATGTATAGTAGGCAAAGATGGTTCTTTCCAGTGCTGTGGGATTGTTGACTTTGCTGCTGACAACAAAATAGTAACTAGAGATTTCCCAGATGAAGTAATGTTAGTTACATTCCAGGAATTCAATAAAATACATTCAGGTCTTTCTGGAACCTTATGTCCAGTCAGATTTTGGATTTGGAACAGGACTTTATTCCAAAAGTTTTTAATAACTCCACAATCCCACCAGCAATATTTGTAAGTTCCTAAACCCCCACATTTCCAACATAGCGGACAATAAGACTTGTTTGCTTGATTAAGTTGTAGTGGTGTGAAATACCATCTGGACATAAGTTTATAGTTTTGTTGTAGAATATTAACAGATGTGGTATTAAATGTTGGAGATGTCCAGATAGTCTGCCATTGTTGTGTGGATAAATCCATCCCAATATCTGTATGCCATGCCTTTGCATAAGATGGTAAAGGTATGTTATCCAGGTCTATTAAAATAGCATATATTTTAGAAATAAGACGTTTAAGTTTTGGGTTTTTTGTAATTAAAACATTTTCAAAATCTGTGCATGGCCTATGTAAACTTTTTTTAATCCACAGTGAGCTTATTAAATGTTGCACTTGAAAGTACTCATATCATGGAATTGATTTTTGCATTTTCTTTTCTAGCTGGATCTTTGTTAAAAGTGCCTCCTTGTGAGTTATATCTGAAAGTTTGAATGTGAATGCTGATCTCCATTGCTGAAAGGGTGAGGGGGGCTTCAGATGGAATAAACCAAGGTTGTCCAAAAAAGAAAGAGGCTGGGGAAACCTCCGGGGCTAATGAATGTCTCCTTAAGTCCCAGATGTATAACAATGCTTTAACAAACGGGTTATCATAACATTGGCTAGGACAATTATGTTTTCTAAGCCACACAATTTTGAAATATATAAGTGGATTTAAATAACTGTTTTTATGTCCATCCATTTTACTTTGGAAGCAATATTTTGAATTCTTGGTAACCTGGATAAGACTGTAGCTTCATAATACAAAGCGATGTTTGGGAAGGCTATTTCCCCCCCATCTGTTTTGGTCTGCGAATTGTATCAAATCTGGTTCTATGCTTTTTAAAGGACCAATTAAAAAAATTTAAGCTTTTTTGCCATTTCCTCAATACCTGCTTAGGAATATATAACGGTGATGCTCTGAATAAATATAAAAAATTAGGAAAAATAAAAGACTTAATTACATACTACTGTTCCATCCACAATAAT